TCAAAACTACTTAAAACATTAATTAATCCTCCCATATTCATGCAAGATATATATCAACTGCAAGTAAATGAACATAGTGTTTCCAAAAGCCAGTAACTACCCAAGGGAACCGACAACTTTCTTCTAACCAGAGAACTGATTTAGTATGTACAGCAGCAATTTGAACTAAGCTTTCACCTTGACTACTCCACACCCCATCCAAGGATGAAAGGGTTGTGCACATCCACCCAGGCCATAGTTGTTCAGGTAAGACTGACAAGAGCAACGATAAAAAGTGGCACTTCTGGTAAATGCATTTCTTTTCAAATAGCAAGCTGACTGAAAACCAACTGACTTAATAATATTCCATCAGCACTGAACTGCAATTTGCCCAAACCCCACCAAACCAGAAATGAGAAAGAACGAAGGTCATTACAACCTACTAACCCATGCAATCTCCACACCACCCTTTTTATTTATGGCTGCACATTTCTGTCAGAGAAACAGAACTAAAGCTCTAGAGAAAGCACGGTGTCTTTAGAAAACCATTGCACAGGCTCTGATGCTTCCATTTGAATTAGAACCAAACTACTTCTCACATAGCTGCCTTGACACACCGATCCGTCCAAAACTAGAATAAGGACCTATAACTGGTAAGACTTTTTTGGTTTTTTAAGAGAGGTCTCAAAAATCTCGCAACTGAATTCAGCAGGACAATTTGTAGGTTTGAAATAAAGAGCATCTTTGGTATTTTGAGGATCAAAAAACCTGCTTATTGACCAGTGCTTAGATCTCCTGCTTCAATAATAAACAGAAACCGCAGTAGAAATGATGTACAAGTAATCCAATTCTGCTTCTACAAAAAAATACTGGAAACTAACTCACATACTTGTCATAATACGTGAAAACCAGATTATTTTCTGAACTTGCATAAAGTAGTAATTAGATTATTTTTCAATTTTTTCCACTTGGGATTATTTTTTAATTAGGTCAACTGAATGTGAATATGTGATGCTAGGCGTGAATAATTTCAAAGCAGCAATATTTTTTAACAAGTTTGGATGGAGAGGAGAAATAAGAAGGTGAAATATAAGTACAGTTTGGGCAATAGACACTTATATTTTCCATTTATTTTCTTTATCTTATGTAATGATGAGGACATTTCCTTCTGTATCATTAACACCTCATATTGCTAGCGTTGACAACTCAGGAAAATAGCCTGCTTACTCACCAAACGTTCATCAGGAGAGGCAACGATAAGAGCCCTCCATGAAGTACATAATAACACTCCCTAAAAGTCTCAGCTCACTTTTTTACCCAGAGGCTTACGTAAACGACAGGGTTTGCAGTGTGCCGAAGCTGCTAACAACCGGGACGCCAGCAGATCAAAGGCGATCAAGGGCAGAGCTCACAGGGAGCACCCTTCTGCCCAGCAGAGAGACCCCAGCTCACCTCTTCTATTGACCACCACAAGACCCCCCTACAAAATTATTTGCTGCTTTTAAGGTTGCTTCTCACTTTGCAGAACTGTTTGCTGATGCCTATGTAGGAGTGAAGGACCCAAAATAGATGAGGATCAGAGATCATTTTCAACTCTTTTACAAGGGGCTTAGAGGTATTCTTATCTCTAATTAGGAAGCTGGCTGTCACAGAAAGATACGTTCTGCTGCGACTTACGCTGAAGTCAATTGTAGTTTAGGTATTACAACAGCTGAGGCAGGATTAGTCACTACACGCCGAAAGAGAGAAGCAATAAAGGAGAATAAACTGGAGTAACCTATTAGCTCTCTGAAGGTGATTAAGCAATTGAAAGAAGTGATTTTAATAACCAGTCATTAGGTGAACAAAAATATCAATTTTACATTATTTAAATCTTATTTTTCATTTCAATTTTGACCCTCAACTTTACGAAAACAATAACCCTACTTTTAAAAGATGTATAAAATTAAATCTCTACTTGTTTTCCCCAAAACTAGAAATGTGAATTCTGAATTATTTTGGCCAACTAAAATTTAGTCATTAAAAGCTATTTTTCCTGGATAAAACCACAAAAATGTCCATTCAGTTTTATAAGAGATTTATTTCTCCTTTAAATATTTCGTAGATCTTTTTTGGAAATTAAATCTGTAATTTTAATATTTACAGATTAATAATGAATCTATAGTTCATTACTACTAGGAATGTAACAGTTTTTTAAATGTACTGGGTGTTTGATTTCTTTTCAAAATTGCATTCATTTACTGTGAATAAATGCTTATTATGAATAAATGTGCTTATTGTAGCAAAGGAAAAATATCAAAATCCAAAACTGCAAATTGGTGGACAAATTTGGAAGTGAATTCTATAACAGAAACCATAGCATAGAAAAGATGTGGTTGTTGTCACTGCCCTGCAGCTGAACTCCAGTATTTATAAATTTTACAAGTTCTATGCCTCAGTTTCTCCATCTGTCAGATTTTTAGTTTGTTTCCTTTTTCTTCTTTTAAACAGAGTGGTTTTGTGACTCCTTTAATGAATTAGTTACTGTTTTTAAAACTACATTTTTGAATACAACATGATACAACGCTACTAAATATTATTATGGTAACAGGTAATTAGAAGGCCGGAAAGCACATGTTTGAGATCATAATACAAAATGAGAAAAAATGCAGGCTGTGCTATCTGTGAAAAGAAAGACACAAAAATCCCCAATGGAAAAAAAGAGAAAAAGCAAGTAGCTTCCTTGCTATTAAAGGACTTGTGCTTTAAAAAGGCTGGGTCTCCTTCTTTCTTATGCTTCCTAGGATGATACTTGCACTGCAGTAATCAAAACAAGGAAGCAGATGGACAGGCAAAGTGGTGCTGCAGCTGCTGCAAAAGATGACTATAATAATAATGTTGACATCAGTAACAGTAATTAGTGCACAGACTGTAGAGTGGATGATTCGCTTTCCTATCTTCTGGCGTAGGCATGCTGCCCTAGCAAATGGGTTAGTACCTTTAGTTTATTTTGTTCTTTTGCTCCATTTATTAATGAACTCGAATACAATAAAGAAAATCCAACTTTTCTCTCTCTCCAGAACACTTGCTGAGGAAAGCATGTTGTTTCGGTTTAGATTAATACGAGATGGGATCCTCATTAGTAAAAGGCAAAATACCAATTCCTTGCTTATATCTATTTTCAATGTACACAACAATTCATACTCTCCCCTACAGCCATCTGTACATATGCTCTTTGAATTTCAGCAGCATCTAGTACTTCCCTGGTTTTGTCTGAACAACAGCTCTACTGTTTAGTACGACTTCACCCATCTGCAGGCTGGTGCTATAGCTTTTTCAAGGGACACTAGAACAAATGGTATAATGTGAGAAGGGCCAAGAAAAACACTGTCCTACACTGAACCATCTCAGGTAAGAAGAAAGTAACGCATCAGTGCTGCCAGTGGTACTGTGTCACAGTGAGAGTTCTGGTACCATCAGACAGGGATGTACCCCCACTCCTTAGCTGCCCCACTGAGAATGACAACTGTCCAGCTTGGTGCTATACTACGCCAAAACAGCTGTTTAAAAGCAAACCAATTGGAAGACTGATACATATGGAGAAATAAATAGAACTTATTTGGGAAATGTAGTTTGTGACTTAGATGCAATCCTGCAGTATGAAGTCGAAGGGAAGGAAGGGTAATCAGGGAGATCATGGAACATCCTTAGCATATGACAAATCAAGAGCTTTTTATTTTACTTTCTAATGTATTTTTCCTTACTCTGCATCTAGCTTCTATTGAGATTCATTTTCCCTGTTAATTTATTGTCCTTTGCTAGCTTCTACTGAGATTCATTTTCCCTGTTAATTTATTGTCCAGGATGATATGAGATTTCCTTTGGTTTCCCTCTATTATCATCCTTAACTGGAAAAACTCCCATTCCCTTTTCAAGTGCCATTCTACAAAAGGGAAGACTGAGAAGCGCAGGCTGAGGGTGGAAGTCACTCATAAACACTGAGAGCTCATGTATCTAAGCTCCCTTTCCATTCCAACTCCTCCTGAGCCTTCCAGGGTTCCTCCTCCTGTCTCTAGGTTTCTGTGTTTCTCCTTATACATGCTGATCTACTGACGGGCTCCACCCAGGCAGCAGTAGACATTTTTTGCCAGATCAAACATTTTAATGAAGAAAATATGCTAAAAGTTTATAACTTTTTGAGGTGTTTTGTGTTTGTGGTTTTGCATTTTTTTACAATACAGAAAGAGAAGCTTGAAAGGCCTCATAGAAAAGTGATGTTCTGTGCAATGTCTTTTGGAGATGGGCTTAACAGACAGATACACTTAAATGCTGTATTTAACCTTCATTATTTGCTTTCACTGTTGAGAAGACCACATTTGCATATGAAGAGTTTCCCCAACATATTTCAAAAATTAAATTCATGTAAATTAAAAATCTAGCCATATACTTGGAAAAGGAGATGTCTGCATAAACACATCTTTTGTTTTTGATTCTTCTCATCTGCTAAGGTAGATGAGATAGCTTCAGTAATCCTGTTCCTAACATTGAAGGAGATCATTAATCAAATTATTTCAAATCTGAATAGAAAACAATGCAATTGAATGGAAAAGAATAGGTATTCAAAAGAACAGCCATGATTATTTTTCAAGGAAGAAAATGCCAAGAAGTACAGAAACAGATGGCTGAAAGTGTTAGATGAAGACACATTCTCCTATGCAAACTAACAGACTTAATTAATTTCTCAAATCACATGGTAGTTTATGGAATTACATTAATGATCAGTAATAAAAACTGACAGTGGTGCCTTATCAGCTCCCTTTAAAGAAAAAAGAAATGGTTATAAAAGGAACATGTTTATACCCTACAGATGTAACCCACAGACCATAAATATTGGTTCCAATGTTAGTTTGACTTTCAGCTCTTTCCCATTAATTTAATTACAAAATTTTTATAGAACTGTAAAATTGTAAACAAAATCATTCCCTCATCACATTTTCCGTAACAGAATTACTAAAACCCATTCAGTTAAATGAAAACTTTACCTTAACTATTTCCTCTATGAAACAGACATGTGACACAGGATCTCTCTTCTTTGTCAATACCTTTTGCAAATGCTGCACCTGTAAGAAAGGATTTATTGAGAGGTAAAGTGGCATCTAATATCTTACAGGCAAATTGCATGACTAGACAATCAGGAATTAGCTTCTGAGTACCTGTCCACAAGCAGCACAGATCTGATCCATGAGCTTCTCCATGTTTGTCCAGAGGGCTGCTCGAAAAGCTGCTGTGTTCCCAGGCGTTGGCATAGCAGCTCTACCAGGGCCACCTAAATGGTTTTTAAAAACAAACAGCAGCACATTTCAGCTTTCACATGTGAAAATGAAAATATTAGAAATATAGAGTTTTGTGAATGGTCTCAGATGTCTCAACTGAGAAGTCAGCTAAACTCTGAAGTTCAGTGGGGATACTTCGATGTTTGTCACTGTTACTTGCTTTACCCACTCAGACCTCTACAGAAACACCAAGGCAATTGCAATGAGCACTGTTGCAGGATGCAATGGCAAAGTGAAATGGCAGAGACAGCTGCTGTGAAAAATACAGGTATTACCAGCTCAGGATTTAAATGCATAGGTGAACTACTGAAAAAAATTATATTCCAGCCGAAGGGTAGGCAGCTTCTAAACCATTGCTTTCCTTGAGAGGGGCTGCACTTCTTTGTTATTATGGTGATTATGGTTTTGAACCCCCAACTCGTTGCAAAAGTTTTTTTTTTAAAAAAGTTTTAAATGTTCGTTATTGCCAAAGTTCAAATTTGCCTACCACCCCACTTCCTCAGTATTCTTTGGTACCTGAGCTAACATGTGGGAACTAAATGTTTAATAGTGCAACATCCTTCATATTGAATATACTGAATATATTGAAACAAATTCCACCTGACAAAAGAATCACAGCATAGTTTCAGGCTTGCTCCATTGCTTGCAAATAATTTCAACCCATGATCCTCCCACCAACACAAAGAAAGCAGAATTCGGATTCATTTTTCCATTACAAACTGCTAAGAAAATGCTGCAAAGTTGCAAACTCAAGAGAACAATTTTCTGGGCAAGACAGGAAAAAGAGGAGGGGTCAGGGAATAAAGGAAAACTTCTGAGCCCAATAACAAGAGACAGACCCAATTTTGGCTTTCTATTAGATTATTTCTGAGACATGCCTACTCCTATCCTCTATTATAATGGACTTGAATGTGAGAGTTTCTTCCATTTGACAACATACTGTACTTTTGTCAAAAAAACCCCACGTTCTCATTCTCTGTAAAACAAGTATCATACCTCTTGTAACAGCTTGAGATGGTTGGGTCAATACTTTTATATCCAAAGCATTTTTTATGTTCTCCTCCAGGACTGTGCAGTATCCGTCCACCACATTAGCAATGGTATCCTTCAAAGTCCCAAGGTTGTGGAAAACCTGAAGAGCAGTTCCCACTTGAGTAGGATTCTAGAGAAAGAAGATTTTAAAGAATAATTAGTATCTTTAACTGTACTATAGGGTTTTTTTATCCGTGATGAGGCATCATTTTACTGGGCAACTTCACCTTTAAGTAAAGTCTGCTAATACATTTCACTTAACATTAAGTAACTGGCATCGTGACTGCGTAACAGAGAACAGAGCGTAAAGGAGAGGATTGATTTCCTTTGATTGCTTAGCAATGCTTTGCTTAGCTTCCTTTGGTGCTCTCCTCTGAATAAGAAGAACAGGAAAAAAAGGAACTGGAAACACTACTGGCAATATCTAACCTAGGGTGGGTTACCAGTGATTGATCCAATAATTCCAAGGTTAGTTACAGTAGAGCTATGTTCAGCTATGGTGTAGTAAGTAATATTGTTTTAACACCCGGTTTCTGTTACAGTACTGCCATTTACGTGCTAAAGTTAATTCAATGTGATACAGGCTTCTCTTAAAAAGAGAATACTAACCAGGAACAAGCAGAAGTGAGCAGGTCAAGCCTCTACTACTGATTAGTGCAAAATTTAAGCTTGTATTCCTACATTTCTATTTCTAACACACAATAACTTCATCTTTCTTACAGCAGCATTAAGAGTGCAAAGCAACACAGTGATTATTTCTAAAGCCTCCAGAAAAAAAAAAATAAAAAGCAACCTCAAGTGTCTCTACTGTTTGGAGCTATTCCGAAATACAGGACAGTGGAAACTATCCAAAAACTGTGCAGGTCCCTTGTTTTAGAGACCTTTGATTAAGATTAAATCTGATGATAATTCCACTGAGCAACACTAAACACTGGCATGGGTGCTATTTAGCAAGAGAAAAGCCTCAAATTACTGCCTTTGCAAACTAAGCACTGTCATCCATACACTGAATACTCCTTTTTTATTTAGCATTCACAGGCCAATTAGCAGAGGGGGCAATCAGTTGATCATACACACATTAGAGATGCAGTCTTTTTTTTTCGTGACTTCTGCCAGCAGTAAATAACCATGGTCTGGAAGAAATCCTGGTATCCAGACTGGACAGAGGCATCTGAGACCACAGGCACGTCCCCAGTAGAAACCCCACTTCAACTCTCCTCTGGCAATGAGACCTTACACCATTGCTCTCTTCCTGCAGGTGGCTGCAGCAGTGGTAGCCACTAACATTGGAAGGGTCTGCTGCAAGACCAATGTAACTCTGCTTCATCCTCCCCAGGTGAACGCTTTTTTCACCAGATACTCCTGCATCAAAGACAAAGGGTAGGACCATCTGCCTTTCAAGTGTGGGGAACTTGCACTGATACCACAGCAGTGAAGCTACGATGAGGCTGCTGTGTTGAGGATCCACTTGTTGGTACATCCACTTACTGCAACAGGTTTTCTGATCCATTGATGAACAGTGCATTCTCCTCAAAACTAATGTCTCAAATGTCACAGCGCTATAACTACACATTCATGTCACTTTTTCTAGGCTTTCTGCAAAGCAGAAGCAAAGCTGAAGCAAAAAAAGCCAGATCCCAACTCCAATGAGGAGTTCCCAGGTTTAGTGGAAAGCAAAGTAGTATTAGGCACATATTATGGTTTGCAGACCTCACACTAACTGTACCGGCTTCTTTTTCCAAACAGTGTGGGAGTTAATGAGCATTCCCAGCATAGTATTATGGGTCTGGGACTTGTAGGTTTAATTTTTGACAACTGGGTATGCTGTAAAATTTCTAACCATCCTGTGGGTGTGCTCGTGGAGGTGGGAAAGTAAGCCATAAAGACTGGAAGATGAATGGGATGTCAGAAAACGAAGGGTAGTATAAAGCAAGGAGGGAATCTGGGGACAGAACGAACAAGAGAAAGAAAATACAAATGGGAAGAGGACGGGGAATAGAATGAAAAGAAATTGGAAGGAAGAAAGAATGAAAATGAAAGAAAGGAAAGCAAAGATAGAAAAGACTCACCTCATTTACCAGTCTTTCCTGTTGAAATTGTTCTAATTCTTATAGAATACTTAACTGAATTATAAAATCAGGCAGCAAGTCATTAATATAAAATCAATACCTTACTACCATAGTAAGAGCACCCAACCAGGTTTCAGTCAGACTGTAGTAAATGCTCATATATTAACCAACCAAAAAATAGAACAGCATCCAAAGGTGAGCAGAGCACTATCCAGGCCTGAATGGTCAGGTACTTACTTTCCTGACAAACAGGCAGTACAGGCACAAATAATTTCAGGCAAAAGATGAATCTCAGAGCTCACACATCATAGTTTAGCAAACTAATCGTGCAGCTACTGGTCAAGAAAGACACAAAAATGTGCTTCAACAGAGCCTGAGCTACGTTTCAAAGGAACTATTTTTAGCCAAAAATTGTCAAAACTATTCATTCTGAAATTAGTAATAGTTGGGGAATAACCAAAACACGTCATTATGGAAACCCGCTATTCACTCAAAGCGTCTTCCAAATCCAATACTGAAGTTAAAATCAGAATAAAACAAAGATTATGCAAGTGGCCTATTTCTTATTTGCTTTAAATTGCAGACATGGCCCCTGACAGAGGGCTTCTAGCTCATGTATTCATCTTGTATAACAGGAATTAGAGGTATATCGAAACCCTGACACTGTACAATAAAATACATTGGTTTTTTTTGTCTGTTTCACATACAGTGTTTTTGTCTCCTCAAAAACAGTTTTTGTTTTAAATGCCCCAGACAGGCTAAATAAAGTCCATTGTTGTTTTATCACTAATCCTAAGAGACTTGCATTTTTTATGCACAGCTAGTTTCCAGGTTTAGACAATATGTTAAAAAAAATAAAGCATCTCTTGGGAAAAAAATTATTATGTGGAAAGAAAATGTTGGAAAGCAAGAAGGAAACAAACGATTGTACTTTCAGGCTTGCATACACATCTCAAAATTTGACTGTTTATCATTAATACACACTGGACAAATATTTGAGAATCAGTACTGCAGAATTCGCCACTACCAACAGACTTTATTTATAAGAATTTGCCCCTAATATTTTCCTTCTATTTGAGAAAGCTTAAAGCTAAACATTTCTGAGATTCAAAAGACTGCCACAATTTTTATCAAATTGAAAGCACGCATTCAAAGTAAAAAAAAAAACAAAAAACATGACTACAGAAGTGATTCACAATGGAAAATGTAATCACATCAGAGAATAATATTCAGAACAGCTATCCAACAGGAACAATAGGGAGAATCATATAACTATTTTTGAGATGGAATTTAATGAGTTTATTAGCAGTATTGTATAATCAAGTTGTCTGCCACTGCAGGCAACTGCACTTAGCAATTTGCAAGTGTTCTCCTTAGAATCCCTGTCCATAAGATCCTATGTTCACTTTCGTTTTAAGAGTCTTATTTTGAAAACGAAGACTCAGAAGTAGTAATTTTTACCAAACAAAAAGTAGGCTGGTTTTACTATGCAAAAATATATAGGCAGTCAGAGCCACAGCAAGACACCATTCTGCTTCTTACACGGTAGTGTCTTACAAGAAAATACTCTTTTACACAATAAATTAGCATCCTAAAAATATTGGTACATATGCTATAAACTTTAAGTTATGGCAATCAAGGGAGTAAGGGGCAAAGAAAAATAGTACAGCATTCACTAATATGTTATTAGTACAGTATAATCTAAGGTGCATAAACACAACCATACACAAGTGAAATAAAACAATGACCCCACAAACTGTAGGGCCGCAACACTACCCATTTGAAGATTAACTATAGTGATCTTCAGATTGCAAAAATGATCATGAAGCAGAAAGCTAAGGAGAGAAGGAGTTAGGGCCACCAATAATACCCTTCTCCACTCAAAGCACTCCTCCATCTGGCATGTCACAATGTAATATGTTACAGATACGTGGCAAATAAATTCTACAAATTTAAGAGCTTAGGAAGATTCAGTGAATCATCAGTTCAACATATTAAAAAAAATCAGCTTGCTCAAAAGCAAGTTCTACCATAAAAGCAACTCTCACAAATTTTTAAAAACACTGAAGTTTCTCAGAATCCATCAGATAATATATTAAACACTCAGAAGGGTGATATTGGCCACCACTTGAAAAAAAGGCATGGATGTTTCAATTTATGTTTTAGCAGAACATAAAAAATACTCATTCAGCAGCAACTATGAAGAGATGTTCATACCTAATGCATTTGCTCATTTTCTCTATCATTGAGAACTGTTCATTTTACTAACATCATTTTCAATTCATTTTATCCCATCCCATTTGGTTCTCTAGACCATCGTAGACAAGAAGAAGAAGTGACATGGAGTCATTAAATATAGATGGGGGGTTTTTTCCACAATTATATCATGTGGTTGTTTTCAAGAGTAGACCACTGGACTCAATAACCCAGAAGATGCTGTCCAGTCCAGCCTGACATTTACAGTCATTCTGCAGAGCAGAACCCCATTTGGTCACTTCCTTTCCCAGAGAGATAATAACCCTGTGAGGACTAGATAGAAATGTCATTAGAGACTTAAATAAATACATATCACATTTCCAATTTGAAAGTATCTCCTAAGATGGAAGCAACTTTCAATTTTTTCCTGTCAACTGCTAACACTGCAACTATTTTATACTGTCCAATACTGTCGCCTTTTTATGACTGCCACTAGTGTTATCAGAACAATCTTCTGAAAGCATGGCTAAATAAAGAGCAATATTCTTTTTCATCATTAGCAATGTAGCTTGGATGAGCAAGCCTGCTCCTCACAAGGGAGTGTGGTGATGACACTGAGCTAATTTGGGGATAGGAAGACTGCTAGCATAAGGCTGAACCAAAACGAAGAAACCTGGATGAGAGGCAAAACTAACTGGCCCAAATGCTACAAACACACCTTCCAAAATCACCCTACCTTCTCAGGGTACAGGATTCATCATATGGACTTTTCTCCTCCAACCTGTGCTGCCTTAGGGAACTCCACGTCATTATTTCTTTATCCCGTGCAAATCTGTCCATATGACCCTATGCTGCAGGGTTGTCA